CTCCGGTTAAAAAAAGTCAAAGTAAATTATCGTGTCTGTTCCTGAAGGGAACTCGCGACGCCGCCGACACCCGGTAAACCTCCTGTGGAAGCAATGAAAGTTCTATGGCGCGATGTGTGGCTGTGTTCTGGTCAGGATGCATTTTGGACAAGTAAAGAGCAGCACGGAGTACATGTTCCTATGAACCCTACATACACACGTGGTTAAAGAGTTGGGACACTGTGGAGAGAATGATAACAGCCATGAATTATGCTGCATGTCCTATCATAGGATTATCCCCTCAGGCCAGGGTGAACAACGTCCCAGATCGAGTTTTACAGTCTGCTTACAGTCTGTACATGTATCCATTGGTGTTGTCGTTTGCAGAGGTCTGCCGGTTCAAGGAGATCTAGCCGAAGGACGGACCTGAGGGAGTCATTGTTGATGGACTGCTTGTAGATTGTCGAGAATACGGTGCGACCGGTACCCCACTGGGTCACATGGTGACAAATTCAACACATTGCTGCCAGCACGTCTCACTACATCACCTGTTTTTGTATTGTTACAACGGCCTTTGAGACCTTCAGTCACACTTAGAGTCTTAGTTCTAACTGTTACTTGTCCAACGACAGTTACCATGGTTACGTGGCATGTAGAGTTTGATCGCAAAACGTGCTGGAGGCCACATTTTGGGAAGTAGTTCGTTCTTTTGCAAAATCACGAGTTAGATGCGAAGCTGACATGATTTTGTAGGCACCTTTCAATGTGGCGGGAAGTACTCCAGCAGTTGTAGGGATAAAATTCGTCTTGCAATCAAGCACTTCATAGTTATGTTCATCAAAATGTTCATTTTGCATTGAAATTGGGGTCATCGATCGACACTCGGAACTCTCTCTCTCTCTCTCTCTCTGTGATTCTGGCTTTCTACGTACAGCCACAAAGAACATTTGTACTGATGCAATTGGTTTACCACTGCAATCTTGTACAATAACCCTAGCCAGCTAACCAAGAGATTTGATGTATTTTTCTAATAGGGGTTCGCTGATGTGACCTGTATGCAGGTAGCGGGACATGTACAATCATGTCAGCTGATGTTTTACATCAATAATCGCCAATACACGTCAGGCTAAATTTTAGTTAGCGGGCTGCGTGTGATCCTCGTCCGCCAGGTTCGCACTGACCCAGTGGAGACTGGGACCCTTCCATAATCATGTACAAGACAGTACTACATACTAATGATAATAGCTACATGTACTTCAGAAGCATTAGCTAGTACATGAATAGGGCTTGAAAGCGATGAAGTCGGAAGTCAAAATATAACAACAAAAACAGACGTTTGGTTCCACTCTGCTGAACAATGCATGGGATGTGATCTGGTGATGGTTGGACCCTCGTGTCGCATGTACAAAGTGTAGATGTGATTATCCGGTACAAAGAGTGGGTACTTCCAGGCCAGGCCTGACCGGGAGGGCCCAATCCAGTCACTACGTGAGGATAATGACTATGTGACAGTATGTCACTGTGATATTGAAGGAAAACCACGCAAATGTGTATGGCTCCATGCAAAACCTGTATCCAAGTGGACCCGAAAATTCAGCGTTGTCATGACTCCGGGCTGGCTGTGACGTAGCACTTTCAAGCCCATCGTCATGAGCTCGACTGTCCACCTAGAGATAGGGCTCATCCGAATATTATAGGGTGGAAAGTCATGGCTCAGAAGAATGGTCTTGGTCCGAGGAAGCTGAGACGCTCCCTTCTTCCTTTATTCCCAATCGAACTCTCCACTTCCACCAAAACACCGGTGACTGCGCCCTACTAGGTGGGGATTCGTCTGCAAAATGTCACTAAAAGCGCCATTTCGTTCTTCTAAAGGCACGGATGACCGCGGACGGCCATAATATTATCATGTTTTAGTCTTTTGGACGCTGCGTCAACTGGTTTTGGTCCGAAAAGGCTGCGATGCAACGTTCGGCCCTCATTCCCAATCGAACACGGTTGAGTAAGTGGTCACGTGCCCATGCGTACACCAGGCTACAACTAACTAACTTACAGTCATGTACTTATAGTAAAACTGTTACCATGGTTACAAACTAATTGCAGCCTGTTTAGGCGCGTTCCTGTCACTCGAGTTGAACCTTGGTGTGAAAGATAGTTGTAGCCTGCAGGCAAAGGTGACCAGGCCACAGTCACCCGCTGTGACCCAGTGTCGGTGGAAGTGGTGAGTTCGAGGAGTTAAAGGAGGAATGGAGCGTCTCAGCTTCCTCAGACCAAGACCATTCGACTCAGCACCCCGAAGACTACAGCTGGTGAAAAATTGATGTTAGGGTATACTTCCCCTCTAAAAAGGGGAACAATGTAAAGTCGCATTCTCGAATAACGCAAGAACCCACAACCAAGGCTGCCCGATACTGATTATCCCTTGGTGCGCGCCCCTAGCCTATTCTGTATGTGATAGTAACCAGCCATACTACAATACCGTAGAATCCCGCGGATAAGCCCACCCGCGTATAAGCCCATGCCCGCGCATAAGCCCAGGGTTTGTTCGAACATCACAAAGCTTCATCGTACAAGCCCATGGGCCTAGGTCATACCAAGAGTCCATAAATTATGGTCTCTTGGCCATACCATGTACACTGTACATAGTACGTGCACATTATAGTTTTTTCCGTACATTTCAGCACAATCATCGGTTGTTTTTGTTTACACAGTGGTTTTCAGCAATGTACTTCTCACTTCCTTGATACACAACTTGGTGTCGGCGTATAAGCCCATGTCCGCGTATAAGCCCATGTTCTCGTATAAGCCCACCGAAATGTCCTTGTGAAACAGATAAGCCCATGGGCTTATCCGCGGGATTCTATGGTATTCGGATGCCAAATGACGCGCGTCACCAGTTGTCGACATATCGGATATACACACATTCACAGCTATTTCAGCCATACTGCAATATTCGGATGCCGACTGACACGCGTCACTGGTTGTTGTTGAAATGTCGGATATACACAAACTGGAGATCCCCCCGATAGGTGTTTTTGGGCAATCCTGAAATCAAGATTGTAATTAGACTTCCCTGTGTCACAGCATGATAGCATCTGTTTTCGTGCAGTAGAAACGGCACAGTCTTTCAATACCGTAGAATCCCGCGGATAAGCCCACCCGCGTATAAGCCCATGCCCGCGCATAAGCCCAGGGTTTGTTCGAACATCACAAAGCTTCATCGTACAAGCCCATGGGCTTAGGTCATACCGAGAGTCCATAAATTATGGACTCTTGGCCATACCATGTACGTAGTACATGCACATTATAGTTTTTTTCGTGCATTTCAGCACAATCATCGGTTGTTTTTGTTTGCACAGTGGTTTTCAGCAATGTACTTCTCACTTCCGTGATACCTTTCATTAGCACAACTTGGTGTCGCCGTATAAGCCCATGCCCGCGTATAAGCCCATGTTCTCGTATAAGCCCACCGAAATGTCCTTGTGAAACAGATAAGACCATGGGCTTATCCGCGGGATTCTACGGTATAGGAACATCTTCGTTGTAGTGGTACTGTGACGTCACGAACATCAGGTGTGGTCGGATCTTAATTATTACAAGGACCGCGCGTCACGAACATCAGGTGCGGTCGAGAGCAAATGTAGATCTACATTTACTTGGCCGTGAGCCTGTAATTTTAACAATACAGCACGCATATTACTCATAATTATTATGAAACATCGAAAGAGAGTCATGCATCTGTCGACAACGTCGAGCCAGTGCGTTCTGCCTGAGGTAAGTTGCTCCACTTTCAAAAGAGAAATGTTGAGAAGTAGAAGGTCATTATTCCCAATGTTGTCTACCCATCTGGTCAGGAGACCTCTGGGCTGTTGCGCCTGTAACTGGTTAGCAATCTCGGTGCTCCTTCAGTCTTCACTTGCATCGCCGACCGCCCTGGCAGTTCAAATCTGAGAGAAATTGTGGATTTGAAATTTTGAATGGCATCCAACATTACAAACCAGAGTTCGTGTTCAGCTGTTCATGTAGATGCACGCCAACGTATTGCCTTGTTGGACAACTAACTTCTTTGCCTATACCAGTTCATCCATCCTTGCTTGATGTTAGTGATGAAGCTCAATACCAGACAGTCGTGCGCATCAGTAGGGGAATGCAGATGCCAAGGCCAGCGCAGCTCTCAAGCCACATTGCCATCTTTAGTGCACGTGGCAATCTATAGTGCAATTCTCTTGCTATCCTGCTTTGCGGCCACCTTGGCAGTCGGGAGTGAAGGCGACAGTGTCGCTAGACCTGCTCCTGCTGCTTCAGCTAAGCACATAGTGGAGATCATTCGCCGGTCGGGAGCTGTGGTCGGACGCACAGCGGTAGATGATCGTGTTCACCTATCGTTGTCCAAGCCATCCAATATCCCAGCTGAGACTGAGAAGACTGTACCTGCAACTGGTGATACTCGGCGTAGTAGAAGGGGAAAAACCCGCGAGGCCGCCACGTCCGGGGACTCTCCTGCAGCCGATCATGGAATGGCCCACACTGGCCACAGTGACCTGATTGATAACTTCCTAAGCGCAATCATGCACTCTACATTGACCAGAGGTGCAGAGTACACACGCGTGTTGCGCCGAGAGACCCATGACACTTGGCCGCAAGCCTCGCGTAGTTCTCGTCCAGTTCCCTGGAGCACTCCTGAAGCCCAACAAAAATGGAATGCAGTTGAAGATAACTCCAGTGACATCCAAGTACCGCCTCTCCTAGAAGTCCAGTGTACGAAGGCCTATTCACCAACGCTTAGGACTCTTCACCCAAACGATATATCTAGCATCAGCCACCCCATGCTCGTCATGGAGCCTCTAGTGATTCGAGAACATGCCATGACTGACGAATACCACGCAATGCTCCTGCTGAGCGTGCCCACTAGTTATAACGACACCTTCCCTGTAAGTGTTACCCACCTGTCCGTGTATCTTTTCGAGGTCGAGGGAGAAAGAGGTCAGACCTGGCGAATTCACGACCGTATCGATATCTCCTTCTTGCCCGAGTCCTGCAGAAATCCGCGAAATGTCATTGGCACAGTGGTCGCAAGTACGAGCCGAAAGTTTGTATTCATCTATGGGTATGGTGCTCGACTGGAATGCAATCAGACGATTGTGTACAATCCCAGTAAACGGCGACACCGTCTAATCCGCATAGTATCAGCCAGCGGGCGCGGGCGCGGGCCGGAGCGTAAGCGTACAGCAGCGCTCTCCAGCCACTCCGCTCAGCCACTCATTCTGGGCGGCACTGCAGCTATGCTGGCAATACGTGACATCACAAATCCCAACGGAACAGAGAGCATACTGATGTTCGGTGGTACTGGCTGCGAGTTGAGCAACATCTTCGCTGAGCATTGCCAACAATTCTCCAACGACGTCCATGTCCTTCAGTTGTCTGGTGACAATTTCGAGATTGGTTCGTGGACAACGCGGGTTTCGAATTCTGGCGTTTTGCACCCCTGTCCTACTCCACGAATTGCGTCCCTACTGCTTAATGCTGACGCCAGTGACGGACCGACACTGTTCGTTTATGGAGGCATGTCTTTGTCTTCGTCAGGTGGGACTGAAACGGGGAGATATCCGCTTGAGGCGGAATGCGACTTGTGGCAATTTCATGCATCAAGACGTGAGTGGACGAAACTAACACATCTGAAAGAGAACTGTGAGGCACGCGCGGCATCATCCTGTTTTGCCTGGAATCGCCTCCCTCTACGGCCGTTCGGTGCTTACTCGCAAGGAGCTGGAGAGTTGGCGATTGTTAATATCGCCTTCTCCGATGGTGCAGTTCCCTTGGCATGTTTTGAGAGCAGTTTGTCCATTTCCCGTATCACCATACGAGGAACGCGCACCGGTAATTGGTCTACTGTCAAGCAAACCACCACAACTAACTTCGCACCCGAGCTGATGCAAGACGTGTCGCGAATACGAGCGTTGGGATTCCTGTACCACAATACATCTCTGTTCATGGTGCAGACGAGTATACCTTTCACAGTTAATCTGTCTGTAGAGTTTGACTACGTTACTGGTCAGCCGTCAGTGGCTTGGCGAGCACTGCCAGGGGAAGACCCGATGTACAGCTTTCCAGGGAATGTTGGATGCATTACTATGCAGACGCCTATCTATTTCCGTCCTCGGCCACATGAGGAAGGTGATGAAAGCTTCGGCGAACCATACACTGCAATGATCGGTGGCTTCTGCATGTTCCCTCGCTACGCGTATTCACGAAGGGCAGAAGGAGATACCTGGCCAGAACCGTCTTGGAAATCTTTGCCTATATGGTCATACAGTTCCCACGCGCATGAATACATCATGCGAGTCATCAAGCCTGGTCCACCGTTTGCTGATCGTTTTTGTCACTCGTTGCTTCAGCTGTTTGACAGCACGAGGCCAAAAGCAGTCATCTACGGTGGCATCCCACTGACTGGGGCACCACCCGACAGGCATGTATGGTGCTTTGACTGGCTTGACCAGTACTGGCGGATAGGAAATCTCACCAATCGCCACCAGACTCCAGAACGGTCAGGATTTGCCGGTATTGGCCACTCTGCCGTCACTTTGTCCAACACAAGTTTTTTACTCTACGGCGGGATGGAATGGGATCCCATTACCGGTGTGTTAGCGTTGGCCCTGAATCAGACCTACGTGTTCACGTTCAGCGATTTATCTACATGCACCGGTTCATGGCGTCAAGTCTCCACTGCCAGGCCAATGCCGCGTAGGATGATGCACACAGCCACGGTACACGATGGCAAGGTGATAGTGGGCGGGGGTTTTACGAGCCACTTTCAACCGGTAAACCATGCACTTCTGTCTTTGACTATTGTCGTGTCCAGATCGAGAGTTACTGTCGACTGGACACCGATTCCACTGTTGCCAACGCTACTCGACCGCATCATGTACAGTCTGGCAAGCTTTTCTAAATCCACGCTCCTGATCGTGGGTGGTGTCAAGATCAAGTGCTTATATAACTATAAAGATCACCGTGCGAAGAAATGTTTATCGATTCCCTCATACCTGGTTCCTTTACCAGCCCCGCTCTCAGATCTCAGAAACATGACAACACTGAGGCATACTAACGTTATCCCATTCTTCAGCAGCTACCCTATGATCGGACACTCCGTGGTGGGAAGTGTGGTGTATGGCGGCATTCTACTGCCTTTTCCCAATCTGGCGAACCCACAGAGTGCAGTCTTCAGCGACAAAACGTGTCATTACAACATGGCACCACATCACTGCCCGCTTGGCCATGGATGGGTGAATGACAGTTGTAAGGCATGCGACGTCAATTTCTACTCATCCGATCTAAGCGGCATTTGCACCGAATGTGGACCTTACCTGATCACAAACTCAACCGCTTCCAAGGAATGCAGCGCATTGGACCCATGTTACAAGGACTTCTGCCATGGGCACGGAGAGTGCTTAGTCAACCATAGAAAAGCCACGTGTAGCTGTAACTGGGGATATCTGTCGTATGACAACTGCCAACTTCCCTTGGTTATCATCCTGATCGTTACTGGTACAGTTATTCTTGCTCTGATAGTCCTGTTTGTGTGGAGGCGTGTACGACAGAGCCAGAAACTGTTTCGCCAACGAGAACAAGATCTGCAGGTTTCGCGCTGGCAATTGAGGCAACTAGCCAACGGTGTACTGGTGAAATGGGGAGAGATTGCGCCATCCATCAAGAGGATAATCGGAAGTGGCTCCAGCGGTGATGTGTTCCTTGCAGAGCTGTCGGACTTACCTGTGGCTGTAAAGGTGCTTCGACGCGGTCGAATGGACGACTTCTTTCTACAGCAGTTTATACGGGAGCTTGATTTGATGCGAACAGTCCGCCATCCAAACATTGTAATCTTCCTTGGTGCAGGTACAAAGCCGCCGCAGCGCTCACCGTTCATTGTTATGGAGTATGTGATGCGAGAATCACTGTTCAAGATTCTGTCTGAGCACGCATCGCACGCTATTAGCTGTCAGCGAAAGATTGACTTCGCAACGGACATAGCAAGCGGAATGGAGTTTCTGCATAGCTCGGAACCACCTCGAATTCATTGCGACCTCAAGAGCTCCAATCTCCTGGTGACGAGCAAGTGGAAAGTGAAAATAGCGGACTTTGGCATGCTACGTCTTCTATCGACTATCGACTTCTACGGCAGAATGGACCCTGAGGAGAACCTAGTGGCAAACACCGCAGCATGCGCCCCAGGCTTTAACCACGTTACCATGCCAATACCTAGACCTTTCACAGCAACACCAGACGGTCCAGAGGAAAAGCACGATACGGAGCCACTTCTTATCTGCGCTCAACGCGCAGAACATTCAGATTTGCAGCCGCAGGTAGTCGCTGACTGCAGGAATCACGCTGCTACTACTAGTATGCGTGTGGAAGGCACTGCCGGCTTGACACAGGCCATGGGCACGAGTCGATGGTGTTCGCCGGAAACCCTGACTGACGGCGTCTTTGATGAATACACAGATGTGTACAGGTGAGTGATACATTAGAGACGTACGTTAAGATGCACGTTATGTCCGACGTGACGCGCAATTACACGTCGCATTTGGCGTAAAACTACCAATTTCGACGTCAGCTGCAGGTCACTCGCGTTGTTTTTCGACGCACGAGCCAGATACATAATGTAGCGCAAGGTGAACTTTCGCGTCACGTCAGAAGTATCGTGTTGTACCGGTACTGGAATGCGTAGAACTCTACACATTCATTTGTGAAACTAACTTCAACAGGTCAAAACACGCTCAAATTCCACGATCCAAATATCCAGGTCGAACAGAAGAGATCTGTAACAATACGGTTCTGTGGTTCGTTCATGCATGCATGCTGCGGTGGCGAACGTACCAATGTAACTAAACGAGACGAATTCTGCGTCACCGCTTTGATTCTGCTCGTTGGATTATCATAATCCTGTGTTCTGTGGAAAGCTCCATTCATCGATGTTAGAATACCGAGCAGGACAATCAGGATGAGTAATGAGATGATTTGCGATAGAAGAAGAACCATATCAATCTTGTAGGGCAACATTAAATTTAACAAAAAGCCACAGAGACTATGAACGCCTACAACACACGTTCTACCGCTTGCAAAATAGAAAAAAGGAATATACATGCGCTCAAGTTGTTTGTTGATTAGCTCGTTGCTTTTCACCCCTTGGTTTACTGTTTTTGGGACCATTTACATGTACATGTAAATGTGCATGTGCTTTAGATGGGGTAGAGATAGCGGAGGCTTACATGGAGATGTGCTCAGTGAGATCCCACCAAAAGTGCATCTTCTTTTTCTTTTTTTCTTTTTTTCTTTTACTAAGAACACAGTCCTACTAAGAGACATATGGAGGGTCTGGAGACAAACTCAAAAGAAGACACAGGGGATGTAGGGATGACGTGCCGATGTACAGAGAGCAGGTGGACCGACCAGAGGGCTCTGGCATCGAAAATTGTTGGAGATTGCAGGGTCAAGGAGCAAAAACATTTGGTGCGAAAAGGAGGCGCTAATGCTGCACCAAATAATTTAAAAATATAGCAGCCAGAACGACTAATTGCCCTGTAAGCATTTCCTAAATGTGGACATAACATCATCGTGAGTAAAATGTGAAACGATGATCGCAAGGCACACCACGAAAAGGAAAGAGAGGATTTGTTCAGAATTGTTTTCTGGTTACATTCATCAGTGAATCTACATAACAATGGAATGGGGACAACTTGTAGCAAATCTTATATGGACAACTAAAAGCGAAATACTGGGAAAAGAGAGAAAGGAAAAGGCGATTATACTACATGTATTGAGCGGGGGATAGCTTCAGCAGCTAACAACATGCAAGTGTGAATCATGAACATCAGCAAAACAAAGCAAAGCCTGAACAGACGGGAGGAAAGTGTGAACGGAGAGGAGGGGGGGGGGGACAATCAGACTCACCACGCTCGTACCATACTATAAGTAGTGCGTACACAATTTGAGGATGATAACTGATAACACTTGCCTTCTGTACACACAAAACTGGTTTGTACAAGAAGATTGCCTCTAAACTTCAAGGTGCATTTTATGAGTACGACTCCCACGAAACAACACGGTGAAAGAAGAACCTGAGCATGAATGATAACAGTCAGGTTGACCTACCACATGCCTGTAAACTGCCGATTTCTTTACATCCAACTCCAGGTCACAACCACACTCGACGTCACCAACTTTATCACCATCCGCTTCATCTTCAGTATCACCTTCTCCAAGTGACTCATCTGAACGCTCCTTTCACTGTTGTGTGTCGTCCGAGTCATGTATAATGAGTCTCAATATCATGGTCACAGGTACTGTGTGGACCACAGGCATCTCTTTCGGATTACGTCATTACATACGTTCACCTTGAAGGTTTGGAGGAGCCTGGGATGGGGTTCGTGAAGCAGGAGGTCTACAGGCAGGTTGTTCCAGGGTGTGTTGGCGAAGAAAGGAGAGGGTCGCAGGAGGTAGCCAGGGAAAATTAGCGCCCTGTACTTGGACGGCCCTTGACGCACTGGAAGTGGTACGATTGGGGTTTGGGCCGAACACACGCATGTACAAGTACAGTAATGTAATCGCAACAGGTTCAGGGCCAGGCCAGTTTAGCATTTGTTTGAAGTTTTTCTGAGCAGCTTGCTTTACTGCTTTGTTGGTCATTTTTTCCCGTAAAAGAGGTTACTGTCTGAGTTTGGCACTTTAGGTCGGATTTCAGTGAGCGCAACTGTCTAGATAATTGGTTGCATGATCACACACTTTCACTTTTACAACCCCTTCACCCTTCCCTACTCGTGCCTGCCTCGGCATTATAAGACATTCTGATTTGGGGCTGTTCTGATTTGGGGCTGTTCTGATTTGGGGCTGTTCTGATGTCCAATGCAGCTACGGCGTGGTGCTCTGGGAAATTCTTACCCACGACAAACCGTACAATGAGCAAGATGACGAGAATGATGTGATACGTGGCATCAAGAATGGAGAGCGCCTTCCCCTGCCTCCGGGGCAAGAGCTCTACGAACTTAAGCGGATAACTGAGGACTGCTGGAGCAAAGAAGCAAAGAGTCGACCGTTGTTTCCGGAGATTCTGGGCCGCCTCAACCTGGCACGATGAAGTTACAGTTTCACCCATTTATCATTCAGCACTGGAATTGCAATGGCAGTTGTAAAGCTTGTGCCCACACGGTTATGCCGTCAATACAGGTACTGCTTTGCATCATCTACACAGCTGAAGGTGGTCTCTGAAAGCTACGTCGCACTAGCGGTCGGAAGACAATTTGTGCATTTCTTCAAGGTCTGATCATTCTATCGCACCGGTCTAAGTGCTACATATGCATATGTACATAATGCCAGAAGGTTGTTTATATCCATAACCATCGCCAGCTAACTAGTCTTACTAGAACAGTACGCACGCAGAAGTCTCTTGTGTTCTTGTGGTCCACTTTCACAACAACAACAACAACAACAACAACAACACACGAACATACATGTACATGTAGAAGTCTATGGTATTAGCACGGTCGGGTGGCTTGGCAATGACACGCACTTTCCTACGTTCTTCGGCCGTTGGAAACCGTACCATTCTTGCCAGTTCATTCTCAGAATTCATTCTATTATTCTATTCTGTCATTCTATTTTCTGTAATCACATTTTCATTCCTGGCCCTCCGGGGTGTATCTCCTGTCGTATTTTCAAGGTCGCCTCCTGCTCGCCTAGTATACAATGTACTTGTGCATGTACATGTACATGTACATCAGAAATAATAGGACACGTATGAATTCAAGAAAAAATAATAGCTTCTACCAAAATGAGTGTGGTAGCGAAATTTCTCAAGACAATTGTATAGCCGGTGGTATTGCGCATGTGCGAACGTTACGTACTAGTACTTCACGTTTGAACTGTCTTTTCCTCTTTCTATTGATGTGTTGTTGTCTCGGATTACTTCGAGTTCGACATGGAATATTGAAATCCCCTTCTTTGTTATTCTCACCAATCAGTACACGCATACACAGCGATGATTTTTCCTTTGTATATTATTTTCTATTTCAAGTTGAACATGCCTTACGGCTTTACCTCAGCAGAGTGATGCTGCATATCCGCCGTCTGTTAAACCATTTTTAAACATTGATTTTCACTTTGGTACAATGCTGCTGAAGTACAGTATTCGTTTTAGATTTTAAGCATTTAATTAACTGCATTTCGCCAAATCTTGATAGAGTCGCAAATTCGCATGAATTCGGAGCATAGCCAGCAGATATGCAACACAATCATTTTACAAGTACTGTAGACGGTACATGTATTCATAGTGTTTCCATTACAGTGGTCTCTCTCGGCCACCATTTTGTGCTACAGAAATCCTGCAAGAGTATAGGGAGGGGTTTCTGTTTTCATTCTGTTAATGGGCCATGCCCGAGAAGACATTTAGTGACGTATGCAGCAAAGAGACCGTGTTGAGTCTTTGAGTTGAGGGATCCTGATGTATAAATGGCTGCCGTGGAATCTACGAGTACTTGGAACAACAAGGGAGGGTGCTAGATCAATTAATTTCAAACTAATTTGAAGTTCTCCCAATCGTTTAAATTTTATTAATTAAGAATCCTATTAATTCTACTGTCGTCGTGTGCATGAACAGGATTGTGTTGGCTGCTTCAAATCGTGCTGGGGTGTGTCAATATTGCTGGTGTATCACGGGGAATGGTGCATCAAGGATGATTGTTTAAATAAGTGCTGGAGCAGGGGATGGGGATCGGTGGACTATGAGTATGCTCTGGAGCTTGCAAGTAGCCTGCAGGTGGTTTTGGCAAGCTTTCGTGTCATACACGTCACTAATATGTATTCCCTGTCGTGTTTGAATGGTACATCAGTAGAATTCGGATGTAGTTGAACAAATCACCGGTTCGAGGAAGCAAGCAAAACAGTCCAGGCGAAAATTCACTCTTGCTCATGAAATGCAAACCTTGGGGGGAATTTTCAAGGTTCATTCTCCGTGCTAGATTGATTGAAATAAATGATTGGTGGCACGTCGAAGCTTGGGAAGAATACCTGTGTATCGAACCGCAGACTTCATAAAAACAAGGGAAGTACATGAGTGTACGCTTTTCATGTCTACATTGTACATGAAATTACTACATCACACACTGCAACAGTCCATCCCAAGATGAATGCATCTAACAACGTAATAATATTTGAACTACAGTCATGTACATGTACATGCAAACAATAAGAGGACGGAAAAAGTGTTTTAACTCTGAGTTTCACGCACTAAGCGATCATCAGACAACAGTACTGAGCAAATCTGGATCAGTATAGGTTTATATACCCACAAAGCTAAGTGTAAATGACTGCATCATGGCGCAAATCTAAAAGCGCTCTCTTGGACAGCCTGGAACCTCTCTGCACATGCACCTACTAGGATGGTGTGATCATTTTCACCATCGCTTGTCCCATCGCTCTGCCAACCAGCCAGAACGTTTCGGCGTTCAGGTTGTAGTGGTAGACACGATCGGCAGGCGAAAACTGCGGCTCGCGCCAGAAGTCCCTGGTTTCCTCTGCCGTTACGGTCGGATGCGTGGCATTGTTGATTTCCGGGTGGATGCTGCAGTTGGCGGCGTTGAACTGGGCTTGGATGAGGTCGATGCGCCGCTGCACTGTGTTATGCCAGCCGTCAAATCCAGCAACGGGAATGCTGACTGCTAGGTTGGGTACTTTCCACGTCGTGCGAATGTCTTTGATCAGATTGACCATATTCTTCTCATACTCAGCTACCATGGTAACGCTAAGACCGTCATTCCAGCCCTGGAACCAGCCAAAGCCGCACACCTCGTAGCCGGCTTTGGCATCATAGCCCGGGTAGAGCTTGGTGAGATTACCCAGTACATTCTGCACGTCTTGCATCATCGTTTCGTAGTAGGGACCAACAGTGCCGCCAGAGCTGGGCGGCCTGAAGTCCCCAGCTAGTGTCTTGCCACCCCAGGCTGTTTTGATGATCAACACCTGCTCCTCCAGCGCGTCGCCCATTGTAAACCCGAAGCTGAGCTCTGGCCCTAACCTGTGCGGATCTCCCTCAGCGCCGAATCCCACTGTCAACGGTCCGTATTTCCCGTCGTTGTCGGACCCACCTTCGTTGAACCAAACCCAGACATCGTCCCGCACCGTCCAGTTCCCAGTTGTGGCATTGACCACGGCCTTGACCTCTTCTGCAGTGCGTGGGTCCTTGACAATGTACCGTAGTGTGCCATTCGAGTAGCCGTGGTTGGGATCGCTCGAGTTGACCTGATCCGCTGACGCCGGACCCTCCATGTTCGACTGGCCGGCAAGGATGAAGACTTTCAGCGGTCCCGGCTTAACGGGATTGCTGGCGACGTGGCTACCTGCTGCTTGCCACGGCCAAAGACCGTGGTCATGATCGATCCGCTCCTTGCTCTGAACAACACCAGCAGAGGCTAGTGCAGCACAGCACACAAACAGAGTCACTGTTGTCAGTAGTGACATGATCGACGGTTCAACAGATATTGTCTCCTTAGAGTTCTTCCAGCCAAATCTCTCCAGAACAACGCTTTGAATGTCCTTCTGAACCGCTTCTTGTTATGAAATGAAAGAGACCGGACCCAGAGCTAGTCACGCTAGGCCACTCCGGGCTGCTTGCGGATTTGTGCATGTTTTCGCAAGTTCTGGTGATAGCTGATAGTGATAGCGCACTGTTTTGGATGACCTCGTAATCACGTGACCTATTGACTTGTTCATGATGACATACTGTCATTGGCCGCAATGTCCTGCACGACTGCACGTCATGGTGACTTCCCTGCTAGCTGTGTGGTCGAGAGACGATTAAACACGCCTGTGTACAGATTCTGTAACTCCGCTATTGATTTTTTGACCAGGTTAGGGAGCAGTAAAATACAGGTGCTGCGACTACTTCCCAATCCATGCCTTTCACGTCACTTTTAAAACTGACTGTATCCATGAGTACAGTCATGTACACGTACTAGTACATGTACAATGTATGTGGCTTTTAAGGTGGCAGACTACCCAAAATTCGCTCAAAAATCGAATTTGTAAATTCATATTGAGTGCTACGTCAGTTGAAAGAGCTTGCATAGCTGCAAATTCTCTGAAAATCGTGTCCCGATCAGACCAGCCGTTCAAGAGTTATGGCCTAAAATGTGCCCTTGCAAGGAAAGATTAAATCTTTCCTTGCAAGGCGTGCAACAAAAAAATTTTTGTTGCACGCTGTCATTTGTTGGCAGCACTGTATTTTAATGTGAGCAGACCGTGCGCAACTTGTCGTATCATGGAAACACGCGAAAGTGTGCAGAATTTTGCTCCAAGTCAAAAAAATCAAGTTTTTGAGCCAGGTATTGGGCTGCACGGCGGCGGGCGAAGCCCGCCGCCGTGCAGCAGGACTTTTGCCAGCACCCTCGTGACGTTGCAGATACATGTATGTGGCTTGATTATTGTAGTTGACGTTGATTTATTGACTTTGGCAAGTTTGAGTCGTGTCAGGAAGTCAGGTAGGATTCAGTACTAGGCAGTAGTGGAACGTGAGTGGTAGTCTTTGCCGGTTTCTGAGGGTATCCTGGATTTGGTGTGCAGCGCTGTGGAAATGGCTACAACTAACTAATACTTAAATGTACAGTAACTGTTACAGCCTGTTTGGGCGTGTTCCTGTCACTCGAGTTGAACCTTGGTGTGAAAGTTAGTTAGTTGTAGCCTGTACGGTGACCAGGGCGCAGTCACTAGGCTCCGGCGGATTATGCTCGCGAAATCATGGAATTATGCTTTCATGGATTCTCGCATTATGCTCGTAAAATCCTCATATTATGCTTTGGCACCCGGGGATATAATTATATTCACTTTGTTGTACTTATGGAGCCTCAAAGTTCGGAAAATTGTGCCTTTTTTCGTACTTGCAAGTTGCAAGTGGCCATAAGTACAACAAAATACACTTGTATCCCCATACCAAGTATGCATGTTAGAGATCAACATGGAAAAGAGAAAACATTATTTCTTCTATTCATGGCGAAAAAGGAGGACAAAATGTTACGAGTTATGAACAACTGTCCACCAACGTAACCAGATCTTATACAGTTAGCGAGTGCGACAAAATGGCACAAAGCTGACAAGGAGTACTGAGACATTCGGCGGCCTGACACCTAGCTCACCATCCGAATTATTCTATTCATTACTTGATTTTAATATAGCTATGAATAGGATGAAGGCCGCAGACATCACGCAACTACGTTACTTGTTTGACATGTATTTACTGTGTATTTTATAACAAAAATATTATTGACAACCCATAATCGATTTTCTTGTCCCTATCATCAGTGGGAAAATACGGAACTAAGGATACAACCAAAGAAACTGAAGTTAAGTACTGTAAATAGAAAGGTGTTAGAAATAACAACAAGATACAAGTGCAATAAAACCACTAGAGGAACCGCAAAAGGTAACAAGATTACGTAACCAAAGGCGAGAAGGCACTAAATGAAGTGTCAACCTACGAATACAACTTCAGTGCAACAACGTGCTCCTTCTGCTTACACAAAACAGGCTTATGAATACGTATACAAACTGCCTTAAGGACTTTCAACTGTTGGACATAACGCGCACGACACAGTACAGAAAAATGAGAGTCATCATACACACTAAGACAGTCAGGACGAGATAACAAGTGTAGATACACAGCTGACTTCTTACGATAAACACATTCATCCATCTCATCTCGCTCCTTCCCACCCGACTCCTCCTCGTCCATCTCATCATCCTGTTCCTCGTTCCGCTCGTCATCCTCACGATCATCATCACTACCATCATCTGCCTCGTCATCTGTCTCCTCACCAACCGTTTCGTCATCCAATTGCTCTTCCATCCTCTAATCACCTGGCGCATCCTCCGTTTCTGTACAGACCACTTGTCTCCCATTTGCTAGCTGGTCGTCCCGTGAGTGGAGTTATTCCTCCAGATCCGCTTCACTCACTGACTCATGATCCTGCTCGACCTTCCTTCTGTTGGTATTGTCCGCAACGCGCGGTCCTTGGCCGTTTCTGGCATAAATATCTGTGGAGTAGTTTGCTGTTGCCCTCCGAGGTCTCTGGATTAATGTGGGTGCCGTGGCAATTCCACTGATGATAGGAACAAGAAAATCGATTATGGGTTTTCAATAATATTTTTTGTTATAAAATACACAGTAAATACATGTCAAACAAGTAACGTAGTTGCGTGATGTCTGCGGCCTTCATCCTATTCATAGCTATATTAAAATTATTATCTCCACGTAGA